TGGATAGCATCACTTCTGCCAAATTCTGTTCATTGAGACAGCCACACACGCCCACCCAGGTTCCAGGGGAGGGGGAGAAAGACACTAACTCTTGATGGGGAAGTGACAAGGTTCTTGAAGGGCATGCATGACTGGAAATATTGTTGTGGCCAGTTCTGGAAAAGAGAGTCTGCCATACTCTCTCCCAAGCTTCTGGTTCTTCATCTGCAAATGAGGCTCACCATATCTACCTCATAAGCCGGGGGTAACATTCAAATATTTAACCCCAAGTACAGCATGGACACTGACCAACACAACAGTCGCTGGCATTAAGGCTTTAGTCCTGGATCATGGACCAGTCCTGGAAGTCCCCAGGGGACAGGAAAGGGCGGACAGGGTGTTGTGTGCCTGGGGAGGGAAGGGCTGTCATTCAGTGGTCTCAGGGCAATGAATATAGTCCCTCCACCCCCCAGTACAGAAGCATTTCAGTGGCCTAACAACCTACTCTTGCCTTCTGGAGGAATGTCAGCTCTGCTCACAGCACCGTTCTGAGGATTAGATAAGACAGTGCATATAAAGCTCTTGGCACATGGTAAATGCAGAATAAACAGCTATTATTGTTATAGCTCCTTGTGGTACTTTTCCATCTTAACATGTAGCATAGAAGTTAAAATCTTAAAAACATGAAACCCCTAATGTTTTCTGTCTCTTTTAACGTGAGGACACACTGTCTCCACCTCCCTAAGAGCTTACAGACCATGTGAGCATCGAAGGTCTTTAATGAAACAAGTGGATGACCGTTCAATGGATAGATTGTTCTTAAGAAATAAGGTATCTGTTTCCCCTTATTGGGAACCATGAGTCAATGACAGCATTGCTCTGTATACGTCTCTTCACGGTTGTACAAAGCTTGAAAATTTCCTACATGTTTTGGTACACGAATTGATGTGATAACAGAATAGAAACAAAAGAGTATTACCCAGCTGTAATTTCAGAAGGGATTTCTGCGGCTTCATAGAGAAGTGTGCTTTGCTCCATGGAACCCCATATCCTAAAATTAGAATAGGCCGAGAGAGACGGAGTCCGGCTCTGTAGTTCCTCATAGATAGGAACCTTCTTTAATAATGAAATTATGCTCTCAGGCCTGACTCACTCGCACATTTCCTAGACATGAACGAGGCCCCCAGGGTTGGGCTGGCACATATCTGAATTCTCTGGAAAAAGGCTGATTGATGCGGAAGGATTTTCCACAACGCCGGGGAGCCATATTTTCTGTCGGGCCACGTCGGCTGGGGAGGTCAGAAGAGGGGTTGGCTAACAGCGGGGGCAGGAACCCAGGCTGCCTTCAGCCTTGAGCGGCTGCTCCCTGCGCGGCGGCCGGCGGCTCCGGCGGGCCCTCCGCGCGGGCCCGGGCGGGTGGGTGGCCTCCGGGAGGGGCCGTGTGCTCCGCGCTCCCGCGGGGCGAAGGCGGGGGCGGGAGGGGCGCCTTGTGGACGGCCTGTCCCCGGGCCCGCGCTCCGCCTCCCCCGCCCTGGCCCGGACGGGCTGCCGCCCCCGCCCTTCCTCGCAGCTCTCGCTGGGCCGCCGTCTCCCCGACCCTTGGCTGGGACTTGGATCCCTGCACTTAACCCTGATCATCAGAGGAAGATGAGTTTTAACTGGGTTCGGAGCCAGACGTTTACCAAGCAAACAAGTAAACTCCTTGGTGAACAGAAGGCCTTAGCAGAGGGCGAGGCGGCGCGTCCCCGCGGCTCTCCCCGGCCGGGAGCCCTGCGCGCCGAGGCCAGCGCGGCCGGGGCGCGGCGGGGGCGGGGGCGGCGCGGCGGTCAGCCCGGGAGTTACAGAACGCCAGTCTGCATTTTGAAGAAACTTTTCACTTCACAGCTCAAGGCTAGTGTTTCTCAAGTGTTTTGGACTAGGGTTTTACATCATGTTCTAGCGCACATGTATATTAAAAGAATGATTTCCAGCTGAAAGTTGTTTCACAAAATAGTGCTTACACTGCGTGGAATGCGCGCTATTTTCTCTCTTCCCTCCTTTCCCCCTCCCTTTCTTCCTCCCTTTCCCCCTCCGTCTCTCTTTCTCTCTCCCTTCCTCCTTTCCTTCTTCCCTTCCTTCATGCTGGTGACTACTCGCTAGATTGATGTCACAGATGGCTAATGAGTTTAAAAAGCGCAGCGCTGGAGCCCTGAGCCCAGAGCCCTGCACCGCCAGTCAGCCCCTCCCAGCAGCTGAGGGGCCGCGGTCACGTGGTCTTCGGATCTTCAGCCCCGCGGGTCACCTCGACCGCAGCGGCGCTGAGCCCAGAGGTCGAGGCGGGGCGGCGGGCCGCGTCGGGGGAGCTCTGCAGAACTGGTTGAATTTGTTTTTCTGCACATGGTTGGTGGAACTCGCCAGATTGGCCGGAGCACGCAGTTGGTTCGCTGTATCGTATAACAACTTTATTCTATCATCCTCAGAGCCTTCTTGGCACAATAAACCTAAACCCTTAGAAATTACCTCAAATTGTATTTGGAGCCATTTTAGAAAAACCAACTTCAGAATCAGTTCATGCTCACAAAGAATAGTCAGCTCACGTTTATCGCATTCTCATGTCTTGCGCTGGGGGCTCAGCAGTTGGGCCAACCCACTGCGTGCGGAGCGGTGGTGAGTGTGTGCGTGGAAGTCGGGCTCGCCCTTCAGCAGGCTGAGCCGCAGTTTGCTGTCTGCTCAGTGGGGGGGAGAGTTGCGAGCATTACAAGACGGTGCGACTGCAGCGTCCTCCGCAGAGTGCCTGGCGACCGGCAGGTGTGCGGTGGCCGCTGAGGTCCATGGGGTTAGCATCCTGGCTACTCGGCCGCCTGGCTCACTCGGCAGTCCCCACCCACGGCTGCCTGGCACTTGCTACCTTGAGACTTCCTTGTTTGGATCCCGCTTGGCTCCTCCCCAGGGACCTCCTTCACTTGTTTAAAGACAGGAGAGAACGTTAGAATAACAAGGAAGTGAAACTCTCCGCTGCTCTTCAGGAGGACATGCAAATGAGGGCACCAGGTTCAAACTTCCCAAAGGTATCTTTATCTGAATTTTCCTGGGGATGTCCTCCACGCGGGAGACTCGCCCTCAAGTGAGAGATACTGAGAGAAGACTCCTAAATCTGCCTGAATTCGGATTAAAGAATGACAGTAATGATCTGAGATTTGGGGAGGAGGAGAATGGGAGGAGATGGGGCTCCATTAATAACTGAAATCTGGAGAGCATTTGATACAACACATTTATTGTACACCTACTGTTCACATTATCCTGTACCAAAAACTCAGGCCTCCAGGAACTTGGCATATAATTGAGGGTTAAAATATATTTCTTCATTAACATCTAAAAGTAACGCAAGAAAACTCATAGGCCATTGGGTAACGGTGCGCCACATGTGTTACTTGACGCAGTGTGTTATGAGTTCTAGACGTTTTCCAAACAGGGCCTGTGGGAGAGGCTGGATAGAAGCTGAGACCTCCTGGGGTGAACTCTAGGTAAGTGAACAGGATGGTGAGGAAATCTATACTGTGAAGGGCGTGCTCTTGGGAGAAAGTGAGTGTCCAAGTGGCAGTGGAAAGGAACACAGAGGTGGGTCCGTGTAAGAAGAAAGACTGAGCAGTCAGACTGGAGCCACACTGCACTTGGCAGCCAAATGGCTCTTTGGATCCTGATGTTTCATGTTCCACAACAAGTAACCAGTTACTGACAAGTAATGAAAGGACCAGTGCTAGATGAAGGTTGACAAATAAAAATGGCAAGTAATAGGATATATTGGAGAATATGAGGAAGCCATTTGGTGTAAACCTAATTCGGCCTGACGTTGTCTTTCTAAAAGGGCGTGACAGAGGCCGTTGAGCATGCATTGTATATCTGCTTAGACATTTCCTATGACAAGAACAAAGGCCCTTGAGATAAAGGTGCAACTTCCCTCCCCCTCCCAACGTTGGCATTTCCTTAAGGATTAAGCATCTTTCCTTAGGCTAGAAACTGATCGCTGTGCTCACCTGTGACCACCCAGCTCCACACAATAGACTTGCCTCCTGCTACGCCCACCAAGATAGCAGACCCACTACCTGCTGTGTCCATCAAGCGCTGTGCAGACAGGGCAATCTTGTGACTATTGTGGGAGGGACATTTCAATCACATGTGAAATGTCCTGTTTGGGGGTATATAACTGCTCTGTACACCTCACTTCTTCGGTGCCCTTTCTTCCCGAAGGAAAGGTCCATGGTCCTCAGATTTCAGCTCAGAATCAACTCTCCCAAATTTTCGTTATAGATTGGTTATGGATTATACTCGTCGACAAGGTCAACTGATGCCCTGGACACAGCCCAGCAATGGTGCCCCCTTGGCCCGTCCACGCCTCAAATAAAGGATCTGTTATGCACATCCGCTGCGGGGTTGAAGGCTGCTGACCTGGCCCTTGTGCTTACACAGGACACAATTGAAACTCTCACACATGAGGTGGAAACAAATGAGATGTCTAGGACACCTTCAAACCAAACTGACAATTTAGTCTCTTACTGTGCCAAAGAGAATGTTTTTTAACAATGCTGATTAAAGTCAAACATAAGCAGATAAAGACAATTACAAAAAATTCCGCTGCAGTTGAGAGTGGCAGTGTAAGAGTTAAGGCCTGAGAGCTGAGGAGAGCCTCCCAGTTGCCCTTGCCCTTGAGCAAGTCAGGACAGCTTAGTTTCTGAATGTTGAATCCCGGGCTGGAGAGAAAAGGAGAGGAAGAAAGTGCCTGGACTGCTTCCCAAGTGTGTAAAAATAACTGCAAGGGGTAGCTGCCAGGTCCTTGAGGCAACGCCCTTGTCTTTCTCATCTTTTTTTCTTTTTTTTCTGGGTGAAGAAGATTGGCCCTGACCTAACATCTGTTGCCAATCCTCCTCTTTTTGCTTGAGGAAGATTATCCCTGAGCTAACATCTGTGCCCATCTTCCTCCATTTTGTATGTGGGGTGCCCCCACAGCATGGCTTGATGAGTGGTGTGTAGGCCCATGCCTGGGATCCAAACCCGCAAACCCTGGGTGCGTGAATCCAACCACTACACCACCTGGCTGGCCCTGTTTCTTATCTTTTTATCCCCATGTCTGACCCAGGAGCTGTCACACAGAATTCAAATTAACAAACTTTTATTGACTGTCTCCTGTGTGCCAGTAATTGGAACTAGGAATAAAGAGATGATCAAGACTGGGTCCTGCCTTGAGGCTACTCACCGCCTGGGAAGGGTGGCACGTGTGCGAGTAAGTAAAATGCAGTGTGATAAACGCAATGAGCAGTTATGCCCAAATAAGGCAGCTCCAAAGAGGTGACGTGCCAGCTGGCTCTAGAGGAGAGGAGAAGGCAAAGGGTTGTTGTAAGAAAGAAAGTGCGTTTTAGGCAAATCTGACTCATTGTAGGAGATCAGTATGTATCTGCTGAATGAAGGCAGGCGTGACTGGAGAACACACACATAGACCTAGAGGAGTGTGCAAACTCAGCGGGGCAGGTAGACAGTGTAGAGAGAAGTCGTTCATCGTTTGCAGGACGTTTTGCACATAGCAAATGCCAAGAAAGCGAGCCTTGGCCTCGGATGCGTTATTGCTGCGGAAGTTGCCGCAAGTGGGCTGTTTCATTTCCATGCACGCTGTCCTGGTGGAGAAGTAGTGAGCTAGTTACTTTGGTTGGCCCATCAACAAAGAGGCGTCAAAGGAGCTGTCGAGGTACGTGGCGTCTGTGATTCCAGGGAGAGGAGTGGCGTGACGCCTCTACACAGCTCCTGATTTTATCTACCTCTGTCTTTTCTACAGAATACCTTATGTGGAAATACTTTTTTCATAGGAGCAAATATGGAGCAATATAAAAGTTCTGTCCCTATCGTGCGCCGTCCTTCCCCAGGTGTGTTGTCGCCAGAGCTGAGGGATGAGCCAGGCCTCGAGCTGCTGAGAGCTGTCCCGGGAGGGGTCGGTGTTAGCGCGGCCAGGCTCAGGAGAGCGAGAGCACACTGCATTCTTCTGTGGCCACGATTTTACTTTACTGTCTCTCCTCGGGGGCGGGCGGGGAAGCAGAGCTCTAGGGCCACAAGAAGTGGACAGAGGCAGGTCAGGTCCCTCTCATGTCCTGCCAGGGTGGGCCTGCGGGCTCTTCTGCGGCTGTAAGCCGTGGCAGGCCTGGCCTTGCGGGGCTTCCCAGGAGTCTGTCCCCGACCGCCAGGCCGCCCTGACCAGGGGCTGAGCTGGGATCCCCACCCCACTGGTAAAGATATGCCTGCGTTTCTACAGGTCTCTTAAAGCACATTTACTTTATTTTCACAGATGAGACAAATGCCACCCAGATCTCAACTATAAAAGGCTTCTGCGCTGAACCAGGCTGTTTGATTTGGCCAGCAAGCCAGGATTCCTCTCCACAGAGCGAGACACACATGACTACATGCAGAGAAATGAGCTCCTTTTTTGTTCATAGAGAAAACAGCCTTCATTTTTCCCTAGTGCCATAGAAACTGAAAGGCTTGAGCATGTTTTTATATGCAAACATATCCCCATAGCAGAGAGAAATAAAGTTAACTCAAGAAGCAAAAATGTCTGCCTATAGGTATATTGAACAAAGGTCACCACATAACCCAGATTTTAAAGGAAAATTCCAACTTCTAATGTTTAAAAACTGTATAGCTGATTATACATAAATAATATAGCTGCATTTATTGCTTTATATTGATTTTGTTTCAATAATGATAATTTATTAAATGCGCCACCAAATGTGATGCACCAGTCAGAAAATTATTTGTCATCAGACTTTATGTCCTAATTTTTGGTTTTGAAAAAGGGAGTCATCATACATCAGCTTTCACATGAAAGTGTCCTAAAGGTACACTTGCCCCAAACTGACTTCACAGGGGACCAGATTGGTATAAGGCAGGGATGTGTCTCCGGAAAATGGCAGAGCTCAGTGATGGACCACTGGTACTACTGTGAGAGGACGCTGAAACCAGCGTGAGGCTGAGCCGCCGAGGAGCTGGCCCTGTGCTCCCCGTGCTGCCTGCCCTTCCCAAGGAGGATTGCTTCCGTCAGCCAGACTTACAGGTGTAAAGAGATGGAGCCCACAGCCAGCAAAATAAAAGAGATGCTAAGATGAGGAGTTAGGCAGATCATTGCCCTAGGGCCATTTGTACATCAAGCTGAAGACCCCCCCAGGCTACTGTTTTTGAAAAAGTTCTTAGAATTTTAAACTTGTTCTTAAACTTTTAAACAAGTTCTTAAACTTGTTAGAATTTTGTGTGAGAGAAAAATAAATTGGCTCTGAGTGAAAGTAAGAGAGTCACTGCAATGAGGAAGGTGTGTAAACTTCAGGGCACGATCACGAAATAGAAAGACTCTAGACACATGGCCACTCTGAGGCCATTTCAACTTTCTCATTCTTGTTTGCTGCCGATAGTGATTTCTGGGCGGGTACGGTTTGATTGTAACTGACTGTGACGGCATGTCAGCCACAGAGGCGTGAGGAGTTGCAGATTCCTTTACGTCTTTGGCTCAGATGTTTCCTTGGCATCCACAGAAGGCGGGAGGAGGCAGATGTCTCTAGTGAAGCATGGGAAACTGAGGCACAGCTAGGTTAGAGGCTAGTCTGGCACTCAAGCTTCCTGGGTACACACCCCTTAAAGTAAGCTACTGCATGAAAACCATATTGACATTCAAACTGTGGGTGCCTAATTTTATTTGAATCAGGTAGTTTTGGCCAGAAAATAACAACAAATTACCAAATAGCCTCTGTTGTTTGGGATCCAACCAATCAGTCAAGATCTTGAATGCTCATGGCTCCTTTGAAGGGCCAAGAATGTCTACCGCAGTGCTTTCTGGGGGAGCCCATGAAAAACTGCGCAGGCAGCAAAGTCTCTTTCATGGTTTGGACAAAATATGCATTATAAGAAATAGTTATTTATTTTTAAGTAGTTTTGACTCAAAAGATACAACTGGCTGAAACGTGGTGGATAAATCACATTGGAGGAGAAAAAGGAATGAGGTGAGCATTTCCCCAGGTGAGCCCCTCAGTGCAGCAGTGTTCTGTGAGGTGTTAACTGACACTCAGTGGAAAGTGGGAGAGGGACCCCATGAGCCAGTTTGGGGCAGATGGTCACCCTCTTAGAGAGTGAGAAGGCACGGCAGCACTTGAAAGGTTTGGAGAAGTCTTGCAGAGATGGGTTTAATTCACGTACGCCATCAACAGTACTTATCGTATATTTGTTATGCCTCAGGCACTACTCTAGGCACGGGGTTGAGTGATAAACTTCACCCCAGCATTTCTCCCACTTATCTGACTGTGGAATGCTACACTTGATCTTAGTCAAAAGGCCGGGAAGCAATGACTGTGGAATCCTGATATTAGTGCCGTTGCCTGACGCCACTCGTTCCAAAGAGCGCCATTTGTGAAAGGTTGGCTGGGCCTTCCTGCTCTGACATCAGCGTTTCAGCCAGTTGTATTTGTGGCTTCTCCCCCGAGAGAATAGGAGCTTCCTTCAGGAAGCTGAACTGTGGTGTCGGAGCTCATTGGTAGTCGGATGGGATTTGCCCAAAGGCCTGTAAAATAGGAAACCGAAGATGAGACAGCAAATGAACTAGGGCTGAAACAAAAAACAAAACCAAAGTTTCAGGACAACTGAGTCATCCGTCCAGAAGCTCTGTGGAGACTCCAAATTTGGGGCAACAGAACGGCGTCTTAGGAAATCAGACTAGAGTCAGAAGGCTTGAGTCCAAATGTGATGTGAGAGCAGTCCAGGAAGTTCTTGAAATCTCTGAGGCCTGCTTATCGTCATTTTTATAAGGCACCAAGACCTTGGCCGGGGGTGGCGAGGGGACTTTTAAGGACAGAAGTGATAGCTAAGATAATGAGTCTACTCATATGAAATCTTATATTTTACTAATGACTTCACATTCTGTTAAACAGTGGTCAAGAGTTGTTTGGCAGCCATTTTGAAAGCTGAGAACTACAGAGATAAAGCCGTAGAATGAGTTAAGAGAGTATACGTGGTTTTGAAGCACAAACAAACGTCAAAGTTCTCTAAGGAGCTTTAGGAGCAGAGGATAGTGGTTGGGGGAAGGGAGTGTGCAAAAGGGATTAGAAGGCTGAGCAGCCAGTGAAGTACATTTTCTCCTTTTCCTCTGCGGATTCGGAAAGACCTTGCCCCCGTCTTTCACATGACTCTTCATGTATCTGACGACTGTCGACAGTTGTCCCCTCGTCCCCACAGCCCCGCCGGCTTCCCCAGGCTTTTCCTCTTCAGCCTATTTCTCCCCACCAAAAAACTAACTCAGTTTCTGTAGCCTTTCTACATAATGATCAGTTCCCCAGCCCACTTATCATTTTTGTTGATCACCAAAAAAGTCCCTTGGTTTACGAACTTATTTTCAGAAGCCAGACTTAGTCAAAGCCGGCCCATGCTAGTCCATGTGAGCCTTGCCTGCATCAAGAAATACTCGACCCTTGGAGCCCAGAGCCTGTGTGAACCGCAAACATGGGCACTTGAGTTGGGGTGTTAGAGATGGGAAGACATACTTCCATGGGTCGATTTTTATTTTACGCACATCTGCAAAATAACTGCTGGTTTCTTGCTTGAGAAGTCTCATCATTCAAGACATGATTAATATTTACGTGTGTTTTACCACCGTACAAATATTTACAGGGTTTCATCAGGCTTTTCAAAATGGCCTTTCAAGGGTCAAGACTAACGGGAACTTGTGAGCACTGGGGCCTGGTTTCTTCCCGAGGGCCCCCTGGGGATGGAGCCAGGCACAGGCAGAAACAGGTGCTGAGGGGCTGGATCCTTCCTTGTCTAGACACCTGCCTCCTGAAACCCTCGTTCCTGAACAGCAAGAGGAAATTCCGCTCGCCCTGGCTCGGCTTGCAGAGCCACTGTTCACATCTGTGGGACTTTTAGTTTCCCTCTTTGTGAGGTGACCCGCTTCCTTCCAGCCAAGTCCCGTGTTGGAGCTGCTTCTTTATTTGGGCTTCCAAAATGAGTGAGGAGCCCTGCTCTGTGAGCGGCAGTGCTGGGCTCCCTGCAGCAGCCCTCCCGGGGTGAGCTCAGTCTGCCATCTCTCACTTCTCTCACGGTGACTGCTAAGCCCGTGGGGTTTCTAAACCATGAGCACTGGGTGAGGAGTCTCCATTAGGCGGTTTGTGAAAGTAATGCTGTTTCTGGTGAAAAGGCTCAATGTTTTGGTGTTGCTGTTCACACCTGCCCCAAGGCCAAGAGAAGATGGAAGTTCCTGTTTACCTTTTTATGCGAAATGCCCACACTCTTCTCAAACTTCTTCGGCAAAGGCCTGGCTTTGGCTCCCTCCGGTGTTCACTACCACAGAGGACCAGCCAGTCCTGACTGTGTGGGACTGATTTCAGTGAGGACCTTCAAGCTGCTGAGTATAAGGTGGAAGGCTGTTGTTTTCTCTGAGAGCTATGACGACTGAGGCTTGTCGAGTCCCCCTTCAGGACTCAGTCCAGCCAGATCCCATAACTCCCCACTCACAGCCCAGGTCAATCAGAATTTCCAGCTTCATTCAAATCAGGGCTCTGTTCCTCCTCGCCGTGCAAACTGAGGTGACACCTGAGCTGAAAGGCCAGGCCACTTACGGACTTGAATCACGGCCTGTGGTGTGGAGAGGGGTCAGCCAGACACACCTTTGCTTACATAAAGCCCAAGAATGGTGTCTGTTGTCTTCATAATCCTCTGCTTTGGCCCTTCGCAATCTCTCCAGCCTTTGTGCACAATTCTTTGCCCTCCTGCCCCTCACACCATCCATTCCTCAAAAGCCAAGGGTCTCTTCCCATCAAGGCCCTTACACATGCTTCTCTCTCTGCCTCGAATATGTTTCCACCCAGTTCTCCTTTCTTTGACTTCCTCTTGGTTAAACCCCACTAAGCCTTCAGACCTCAGATGAGATGTCTCTTCCTGCAGGAAGCCTTCTCTGACTGCCCACACCAGCTGGGCTCCCTAGCCCCGCACTCGTCAGCCCTGGTCAGATTGCCGTGTGCCCACTGGACCATAAGTTCCTTAACGGCAGGGACCATTTGCCTTATTCAGCCCTTGATCTCTGGCACTGAGCACAATGCCTGCCACGTGGGAGATGCTCAATAAATAGGGGACAAATGATGGCCTGAAGGCAGCTGCGAGTTCCCCAGCCTGCAGCAGAGCCAGGAGTCCCTCCAGGTCTGCTGCCTCGTCTTTCAGGGGTGTGAGAGGTGCTGGTGCTGACCCAGCTGGGGCCTGGAAACGCCGCACAGAGGGGACTGGAGTCTACTCCTCTCCGGCGGCAGGAAGGAGCTGCACAAACATACCAACGGGAGGAAGAGCGCGTCCCGCAGCAAAGACGGGCTGGCGGGCTGGGGGGCTCCGTCTAGATTCCGCAGGCTGCCTTGCTCGGGGCTGGCTGGAGCGCGTTGCCTGAGAGCCCCCTGGAGGGGGTTTTTGACACCACATTTCATGAGCCCCCTGGATGCAGTCAGCAGATTTGTCTCAACCACCTGTTGCAGTTCCCCCACTCAAATGTCAG